CTTAAAAATATATATCTATTTCATTTTGCTTTGGACCATCCCGTGGTGTCATAAAAGCTCAGTGTCATTGGCATTGGCCTTCTAGGCTCCAGCCTCACCTGGTCCCACTGTCCGCCTTGCTCGCCTGGCTTTAGCCACCCTCCGTTGAAACCCCTCTCCCCACAAAGCTGTTTGCACAGGCTGTGCTCCATGCCGGGAACACTCTCCTTTCCATCCCCAGCACTCTACCAGCTTATTCCTGCCTGTCCTCTACATCTTAGCTCAGAAGTCACCTCATTGCTAATGCACCTCAACACTTCCCTGACCCACTCCCATGAGTTCCTAACAGTCTGTGTGAACTCTTCATAGCACTTACCTGAACTGTGAGTAGGTTAATGACATAACAAACTGCTTAATGCCTGTTAATGCTTGGTGAGTGCTGAGGGCAGGGAGACCTCCAGGAGGCCCTTGATCAATACTTGCTGAATGAATGGAACTGGATAAGGGGCATGAGTTGAGATTGGGGGCAAAGGGAATGATCTGACTCCCCCTCGGCGCATTGTCTGACCCCAAATCAAGAATACTCCATGAGAAGCTGCTGACTCTAATGCCTCCTGACGCCCCATTTTCTCTGGGACTCTGTGCTGCTGACTTCCCCAGGTAATGTGATCTTTGAAATGGTCTTTCTATAATTTGTAAGGTCAGTTTGTACGTCTCCCTGGGCTCACTATGGGATGTTTGTGTTACTGTACAAATGGAGAAGTATTAAATGGTATGCATCCACGCAACTGTCTGCTCCTTTAAAATCCGCACCAGTAACTTCCCAGGGTAGAGGGACAATTATTTATTCCAGCAGATAGTATGATTGGTGGAAGCACATATCCATTGGCTAGTAATCAAAGCGGTCGTAATTCAGGCTGGCTTTGAAGGTTTCTTATTAGAATCTCCAATCAGTTTTCCTAAGTTAAACATAAAAATTGCTGTATATTTTTCTCATCAAACAATAATTAACTTTAATGCTATTAAAATATGTCATACCCAAGATACTGTATGATTTCGGGAGCACCATGAATTTAATATTTGGATGGAAACAGGGTTTTAGTAATGCTTTAAGAGCGCTCCGCTTGTCTCCTTCAGCATTGCCTGGGCTTGACACAGTTTTACATCCCTTCTTAATTAGCTTATAGAGAGAGATTTGCTTCAAGTCATGTACCCATGTAATAAAGGTCTTTGTTGCCATATTTAGAAGACTATGTCCAGCATAAGTTCCACTTCCAAATCTCTTTCTCATAATGAACTTCCATCGACATAATGAGTTCCTTGGAAGGAAGGCATTCTGTAAATTAAAAATACTAATGAGTCATAATGAATTATTTTCCTTATTACTGGGAGCAGGACTAACCTTGGGCACATTTTCTAGTTGCTGAAAGTGCCTGCCCTTCACCAGGCCTGCCCTCTCCTCGGAGCCCGTACTCTAAAATAGCTGCTCCTTTTTTTTTTCTCATCAAAACTATGAATCCCCCAAATGTCCCTGATCTTAGCTAGTCTGTCTTGGAGGAAAGAAAGTTACTGAGCACACTAAGATTTGAATGACCAAATGCACCATTAGCCCTTTCCAATGATGCCCTGCCTGTACCTCTCCAGGGATATTCTTATTTTAAAATGCAGCTGCTTAGCACTGAAGAACTGGTGAACTTTCTAGCTAAAATAAGCTTAGGGTCTCAAGGATTGTCAGGTTAAAAGTAACAGGAATCCACTCAAGACCACTAAACAAAAATAATTTATTGTTGGGATACAAGCGCAGCCCTCACAGAACTCAGTGGAAGAGGCACAGCTGGGCTTTGGGAGGGTCGGGGACAGAACAAGAGAGCTGTGAGGAACTGGGGTAAACTTTTTCTGTGTCCCTGGGATTGTGGTCCACAGGCTGTCATCACAGCTGTTACTTTCTCCCCTCTCTGCAGGCAGGCTCTCTCTGCTTTTCCAAGCACGTGGGCCAAATATGGCTGCTGTTGAGCCAACTTGCCCTCAGTTCAAAGGTCCTGTTACCACACTCCCGGTGGGAGGGTTGGACTGGCACAGCTTGGGTCAGGTGTCACTCCTAGCTCAGTCCACTGTGCCCATGGGGTCAAGGCCACAGGGGACAAACATAGTGCCTGGCCCAGGGTAATGGTTCAGTTATGGGTTTGTTATTGTTACAAAGAGGATGTGGGGGTCACCCCTAAGGGGAGGGGATGGGCCACATCTCCAGAAGAAGTCTACCATACCAGGCCCCCAAGTTTTTTTTGCTCAAGTGGGTTGGGAACCAGGAGTGTTGAAGGGCTTTGGGGCAGGAGAGTGAGTGACGCTGGCTCATGTGTTGACAATGGCCCGTGGTGGGGTCTGCATGAGCTGGGCAAGGAGCTCCTGGCGCCAAGTTTACCTAAGGGAACAATGCCTTGCAAACAGTGGGGTACGGTCTGACTCCCTTGGCACTGGTGTCATTTGGCACTCACTGTGTTTTAATGACTCAAGAAAAGGGAGATTTGCCATCTGTTTTCCACTTTGTATGGACTTGCTGGGAATTTGGATAAGTGACTGAACCTCTTTGGGAGTCTTTTAATAAAGCTGTTACACACACACACACACACACACACACACACACACACACAGGGGGAGAAAGAGAGAGAGAGAGGCAAATAACTTACATATTTGTCTGTTATTATTTTAGCAGATTATTATTGTTTCTCTTTGCCGGCCTGAAAACACTCTGAGGTTATGCAGGAAGGGCCTCAGAAAGCTGGCTAGGAAGTTGGAGATAGAACAAGAGATGCTTCGACTCCTTCTTGGGAGGAGAAGTGCTTGCTTCATGTAAAGTTACATATGTCCTTTGGAATGATAAAGCTGGTGGCCTAGGAGGCAAAAACAAAAAACCATACAGAAACATGTGACGCCTCAGATCTGTTCCTTTGGGAAGTGGGTGGGCACGGGGAGAAGGGTGGGAAAAGGCCTGTTTTGTGGACTTGGATGAGGGAGATTGTTTAAAAGATAGAAAAGCCTCAGGAAGGCCTGTTGCTGAAGACTGTGCTGTTTCTGCAGGAGTTTTTAGAGAGCATCTCTCAGCTGGTTGTGTCCTAGAGGAGAGTATTTAGCCCAGCTAGTCCTCCTGCAGGTGACTCTCTTAACATCTAAATCATACAGGTGTATTCTCTCTCACACAGGCTGAAGCAGAAAACAAAACATAGCCATCTCCTGGGTAGGGAGGAGTGCCTGAGGGGCCAGGCAGGCTGGGTGAGCAGGCCCAGCCCTCAGTGACCCAGGCCCTCCAGCTGGGGGGTGAGGGGTCAGGCAGCGAGGCTTCTCAGGGGAGGGGGCTGCAGGCCTGCTGAGTGGAACCTGCTTCCAGCTTTCATTTCCATTACTCAAAGGAGCCATTTATGACTCCGTCATGGCAGGCTGATGGGGCAGATAGCTTTTGGCACAGGTCCTTTTTACTTCTCACAAATTAAATCACAGAGAAAGCCACCAGCAGTGAACACAAAGGAAGTGTTCAAGGCCACTGGGTGGAGGTGAACAGATGTTCCAGACCAACTGCTCACTAGAGTTTAAAACTCCACAAATCCTAACAAGGCCGGCCAAAATCGAATCGGGCCGTGGACAGCTAAGAATGTTGTCTGGGATGAGAGTCGCAATGTAGTTACAATTAATAATAACACAGAATCAAATGACAGCAACCAACATGCACAGAGAGCTTTTCCATCCACACACACATTTTTATTTCACCACCAAACCCTCGGATGCTAGGAGGTGGGCTGGCCAGCTATTATGTCCCTTCCACAGGTAAAGAAATCAAGGCCCAAAAAGCTACGCCAACTTGTCCAAGGTCACATCGCTGGTCGGCACCAGAGCCAGGGCTCATGTCAAGGGCTCCCTCAGCGACCTCTCTGTGTAGTCAGGCTGCTCCTTCAAGCTTGAGTACAGAGCCACCCCAAGGGCAGGGCCACCGCACAGACAGGGGAGAGATGGCCAAGCAGAAGCCCCCAGTGGCCCAGGAAAGAGCCCAGGGTCCTGTCACTTGGAACCCCTTCCTGTTTCCCACCTCACATTGGGATAAGGGACTCAACTTATGAATTTAACTACCCTCTTTAATACAGGGTGATATATGTTAATTGTTTTAAATATATATACAGATAGGCCTAAGAACATAGAAATAAGAATTCTATCACTCAGAGATAAGCATTTTTAACACTTTAGTGCACCAAAATGTCATCCTTGCAGATATTTTCTCTTTATTATGACACCTTTCCGCAGAAAAATGGAATTTGTTGTTCCTGCCATTTTGTAACTTCTCATTCCATATATTGTGAATATCCTTCCGTGTCAAATACACTTCAACAGCATTTTTCTCATTTCATTAAAAATGTTATGCTGGTTTTATGATTGCAGAAAAATCATAAAATTATATGCTCATGGTAAAAATATTCAAATTCAAACAGTACAGACATGCACAGCAAAGGAAGCAAACGTTTTGCTTAATGCCACCCTTGGGACATCAGCAGTGATGCTAAATTTCCTATTTCCTCTTCATATTTTTTTATGCACAGAGTAGACATAATGAACTTATGTGTATATATACAAACATTTTTTTTCTCCCCCACAAAGTAGGCTCATAGACTGTCTGCCGTTTGCTTTTTCCCTTCCTGTAATGTGGTCATCTTTTCCTCTCAGTATGTGGGGGTCTAAGGCATCTTTGTTCCAATCCTGGGGAAAGGAAAACCTGAGGAGAATCAAATTTAGTAAGGAACAAAATAAGCAATAGCACCACGGGGCTGGTTGCAGCAGCATCTGGATTTGAAAGTCCTCTGAGAGGAGGGAGGCTGCAGCTCAGGTAGCTACTTGGCATTCATCCAGAAGATGCAGGTGAAGAGACCCCCCCCTCCCCCGGCCCTCCTCTAATCCCCCGCTCCCCAGGCCACCTGAGAAGAGGGTCCCAGGGCACCAGATAGCTCCACCTCATTCTCACAGAATGCTCTGTGCCTCCTCAGGTGTGTGCATTCTAATGATGGCCCTAATCCCTGTGTTGGAGGAAGAACATGACCCCAGAGTGGTGAGCTGACTTTTGGGCTGTTTTGTAAGTAAATGACTTTATCTCCAATGGGAAGTCAGTGGTCCTACATTTGTGGCCCCAGCTGTCTTAAAGAGGCCATCTGTCCACATCCACAGGGAAAACCAAATTCTGGCCAATGGGCCTTCCGTTTAATAACCTGAAATCAAGCAGCGGTGTGCCAGCCTGGGCAGAGTTTGGATGGGTCTAGAGCAGCGGTTCTCAACCTGTGGGTCGCGACCCCTTTGGGGGTCGAATGACCCTTTCACAGGGGTTGCCTAAGACCATCGGAAAACACATATTTTCGATGGTCTTAGGAACCGAGACACCACTCCTGTATCCATCTCCAGGAGGGTCCGCCCACATGCAGATACGCCCACATACGAGTACCCGGCTTCAAGACAAAATTTCATTTATTTGTAATTAGAAATAAATATTTCACAATATATAATTACATATTTTTTTGTGATTAATCACTATGCTTTAATTATGTTCAATTTGTAACAATGAAAATACATCCTGCATATCAGATATTTACATTACGATTCATAACAGTAGCAAAATTACAGTTATAGAGTAGCAACGAAAATAATTTTATGGTTGGGGGTCTCCACAACACGAGGAACTGTATTAAGGGGTCGCGGCATTAGGAAGGTTGAGAACTGCTGCTCTAGAGAGAAGCTGACAAAGCCTGGGAGGGATCTAGGTCAAGGGGAGGGTCGGCCTGGTGCTGCTTCTTCCCAGGACACATGCCCATGAGGACACTGTGATGTGTAGACTGAGATGCCTGAGTGCTCACTCTGGCAGTCATAACTGCTTGGAAGCCACTCCAAATCCTGCCCCTCTGCCCTCAGGGCCACCTCCACCTTCCCGCTCCTTCCTGCCTCTTGTCATGGCTGGGTGGCTGCTGCCCACAAACGGCCCATGAACTCCCTGTGAAAAGGGAGGCAGACTGTGCAAAGAGCTGTGGTCAAGACCCAGCTAAAGGCTGTGGGCTCTTCCCTGAGAGCTGTGTCGTCTGAGCGCTGGCTGCACATTGGGGAAGAGAGGCTTCTGAAGAGCAGGGACAGCTGTGGGCAGCTTTCAGGTCAGGGTGGTGGGCCCTTCCAGTCACCTGGTGGGCTCCACTTTGTGAAGCTGCCAGCTCCAGCAACCTTCCCTCTTGCTGGTGTTGTCTGCCTCAGGAGGAAGCCTCCGATGCCCTCCTCACCTCTGCCTCTGCCGGGTGCACCCTATGCCCCACTTTTGCTCACTGACCCCCAGACCAAATCCTGGGGGATTTCTTCTCATGACTCAAAATTCTTACGTTTGAAAGGGCCAGAGGTCTTTACAGCTTTTCCAGGGGACGTGGGAACAAAGCACTTGCTCATCACAAATGAGGCCCAATTGGGGTTCTTTGCAGAGCAGGTGGAACTGCCCTGAGACTGGGCCGTAGCTCGATACAGATGAAGTTTAAGCTGGGGGGGGTGGGGTCTTTAGTGATTTTTTAAAATTTTTATTGCAACTGATGTGCTGTCTAAGCATCTTCAGTATGTTTCCTGCACTCTAAGGCAGGAGGTCATTCGCACATTAACAGACACCCGCTGAGTGCTGGGGTCCTGAGGTACAAGAGGGAGCTGGGTAGACCCCTGCCCTCACTGAGCGTGTGTCCAGCAAAGAATAGACTCGCTTCAGCAGCTTGTGAAAGAGGAAGATGTGACTTCACGGAGGGGAGGGGTTAGGGAAGCCCCAGGCAGCGGCCCTTTGCTGTTCCTTCATTCTCTGTGCTCACGTGCACCTCCTGCAGAGGGACAGGCTGCAGCACTGGGTTCTGTAGTTACATTGCTGGTAAAGATCTGGTTCGGGAGAAAGGTGAAATCAAGGGTGAGATCCGTGCAAACTGCAGTGCCAGCCGAGGCAGGGAGGAGCTTGTCCTGTGTGCGGGCAGCCAGCTCCCTTGCCTCGCACCTGAAGGGAGCCTTCTCTCCCATTTGTTTATCCTGCACTCCTGTCCAGAGGCAGCAGGTGGTTCTGACTGAGCGGTGGGTCCGAGCGCACCAGGCCATCCATTTTTCGTCAGTGCATCCTGGCTGGGTCGACACCCCAGGTAGGTCATAGCCTTTAATTTCCATGCCGCCTACGTTTCATCTAAAAATATCTGAGCAGCCTCAGGGTCGACTCTCCCAGGGAATGACCTGAAACCAAAGTCATGAAGATGAAAGGATCGCTTCATTCCCATTTGAGAAGGACACGTTGGGCTAGAAAGAGGGAAGCCTGGTCCTCAGGAGCAGAGCTTTTGTTTCTAGTTTGCCGTGTGCACAGCCGGGAGTGGGGGTGAGGTTGGGCTGGGGGCCCTCCTGACCACAGCGGCCTGGTGGTAGAGGGACCTGGTGAACACTGGCATTCTCCTGTCACAGAAGATGGACAGGGCCCGAGGGAAGCCAATGGGAGGCCACTGGGGACCTGGAGGACAGGTCCCGGGCCACCTCACCACTCCCCAGGTTTCCGGAAATAATAAGTTCACAAAAGTAAATAATAATCACTAAGGAGACAGCTGGAATTATCTGGAAGCATGTGGGAGCAGCAGGGAAGGAGAGCAGAGCTCCCTTCAGGGTCTCCCCGCAGCTCCCTGCTCCCTGCAACTCTTTCCTCCTGCCCAGACAAGGGAAACGAAAACAGCAGCAGCCGCAGCAGACGACCTGCAGGACACTGAGGTGCCAAGGGCTACCCTCAATGCCGCCTGGGTGCTCACACATATGTCCTCACAGTCCCTGTGAGGTGGGCACTACTATCACACCCATTTACAGAGGAGGAAACTGAGGCACAGAGGCAAGGACGTCCCAGTGGGGCCTGGTCACAGTGTTTTGGGGAACAGGCTCTCTCTCATACACTGCTGTCACCTTTCTGAAAGCCAGTTTCTTAGATGTTTTAACATTTGTATATCCAGCCTTATATTCTATATAAAAAATAATAAAAGACATGGAAAATAAAGTTGCTTATGGCAGCACTAGTGATAGGAGAGTAAGTTAATCCATAATGGAACACCTATTGAAGAAAGCCATTCAAACCCGGAAACTCTGCTGTCAATAAATATCTGTGGGAAAGGAAAACTGTCTGCACTATATCATTAAATGAAGACATCAGGTTCCAAAACAGTACACACCTTGTGATGTAATTTTTGCTACACCTATGTCCCCATAGAACAAGGTGCATGTTAGTGCTCTAGCGTCCTAGGAGACCTGGCTGGAGACCTGGCACAGATTCGCGTCTGAAGCACACAGCTGAGGTTTTGCAGTCTCCTGTTGTAAATGCAAAGGAGAGACTCAGGCTGGGGATGCTGGGAGAGTATGGCTTCTCAGTTCTTCTCTTCCTAATGGAGACATGCTCGGTGCTGCCTGACACGTGTGAGATCCATCAGACCACGGAGAGCCACCGGCCTCCTGTACTCCCAAGTACCTCGCACTGATAATCCCACATCAACCTGTCTGCTTACAGAATTTGTGCTGGCAAGCCTGCTGCCTGGCTCTTCCATCTGGGTCAAGGTGCAGTTTGCCATCTGTTGTCTGACGCCACAGAGCAACTACGGGGCCTCTCAGGTGAGGACACGGAGCCTGAGGGAGGGCTGGGTAGGGGCCTGAGCACGTGGACATTTGTCCTCTGAATGGCACCACGTACGATTTCAAATTTTATCTTTCTTTTAAATTAAAAAAAATTTCAATTACACTTGACATTCAACAGTATATTAGTTTCAGGTGCACAGTATAGTGATTAGACATTTATATAATTTACGAAGTGATCCCCCAATAAGTCTAGTACCCACCTGACACCATACATAGTTATTACAATATTACTGACTGTATTCCCTATGCTGTACTTTACATCCGTGGATATTTTGTAATTACCAATTTGTACTTATTAATCCCTTCCCTTTCTTTACCCATCTCCCCCACCCCTCTGCCATCTGGCAACCATCAGTTTGTTCTCTGTATCTATGTGTTTGTTTATGTTTTGTTTATTTGGTTTGGTTTTTTAAGATTCCACATATAAGTGAGATAACGTGGTATTTGTCTTTCTCTGTCTGACATATTTCACTTAGCATAATACCCTCTAGGTCCACCTATGCTGTCACAAATGGTAAGATTTCATTTTTTATGGCCAAGTAATACTTCATTGTATATATGTACCTCCTCTTGTTTATCCAGTTGTCTATTGATGGGCATTTAGGTTGCTTCCATTTCTTGGCTATTGTAAATGATGCTGCAGTGAACATAGAGTTGCATATATTTTTTCGAATTCATCTTTTGGATTTCTTTAGATAAATACCTAGAAGTGGGATTGCTGGGTCATATGGTAGTTCTATTTTTAATTTTTTTGAGGAACCTCCATACTGTTTTCCATAGTGGCTGCACCAATTTGCAGTCCCACCAACAGAGCAAGAGGGTTCCCTTTTCTCCACATCCTCACCAGCACTTGTTATTTGTTGATTTTTAAATGATAGCCATTCTGACAGATGTGAGGTAGTATCTCATTGTGGTTTTAGTTTGTATTTCTCTGCCATCTGATGTCCTCTTCAAAGGAATGTTTATTTAGGTCCTCTGCCCATTTTTTTTTAATAGGATTGTTTGGTTTTTGGTGTTAAGTTGTATGAGTTCCTCATATATTTTAACCCCTTATTGGATATATCATTGGCGAATATCTTCTCCCATTTAGTAGGATGTCTTTTTGTTTTCTTGATGGTTTACTTTGCTGTGCAAAACCTTTTTAGTTTGATATAGTCCCATTTGTTTATTTTTTCTCATTTCCCTTGCCTGAGGAGACATAGCGAAAAAAATATTACTAAGTGCAATGTCAGAGAGTTTACTGCCTATGTTTTCTTGAAGGAGTTTTATAATTTCAGATCTTACATTTAAGTCTTTAATCCATTTTGAGTTTTCCTTGTATATGGTGTAAGAAAGTGATCTAGTTTCATTTTTTTATTGCATGTATCTGTCCAGTTTTCTCAACACCATTTATTGAAGAGGCTGTCTTTATCCCATTGTATATTTTTCTCTCCTTTGTCATAGATTAATTGACCACATAAGTGTGGGTTTATTTCTGGTTTCTCTATTCTGTTCCATTGATCTCTGTGTCTGTTTTCATGTCAGTATCACACTGTTTTGATGACTATAGCCTTGTAGTATAGTTTGATATCAGGTAGTGTGATACCTCCAATTTTGTTCTTTCTCAAGATTGCTTTGGCTATTCAGGGTCTTTTGTGGTTTCATACAAATTTTAGGATTGTTTGCTCTGGTTCTGTGAAAAATGTCATTGGTATTTTGATAAAGATTTCATTGAATCTAAAGATTTCTTTGGGTAGTATGGACATTTTAACAATGTTAATTCTTCCCATCCATGAGCACAGTATATACTTCCACTTATTTGTATCTTTGTTACTGTCTTTCTTCAATATTCCAAGTACAGGTTTTTTACTGCCTTTATTAAATTTATTTCTAGGTTTTTAAATTTTGATGCAATTGTAAATGGGATTGTTTTCTTAATTCCTCTTTCCAAGTTTGTTATTGATGTATAAAATGTAACCAATTTCTGAATATTAATTTTTATCCTGCTACTTTACTGAATTCATTTATAACTTTTAATAGTATTTTTTGTGGAATATTTAAGGTTCTCTAAATATAGTATCATGTTATCTGCAAATAATGACAATTTTACTTCTTTTTTTCCAATTTGGATGCCTTTTATTTCTTTTTCTCATCTTATTGTTGGGGCTAGGACTTCCAATACTATGTTGAATAAAAGTGGTGAAAGTGGGCATCCTTGTCTTCTTCCTAATCTTAAATTGAATGCTTTTAGTTCTTACCCATTGACTATGATGTTAGCTGTGGGTTTGTTGTTTATGGCCTTTATTATGTCGAGTGATGTTCCCTCTATTCCACTTTTCTGAGAGTTTTAATCATAAATGGATGCTGGATTTTGTCAAATGCTTTTTCTGCATCAATTGATATGATCATATGATTTTTATCTTTCATTTTGTTTATGTGGTGTATCACGTTAATTGATTTGTGGATACTGAACCAACCTTGCATCCCAGGAATAAATCCCACTTGATCATGGTGTATGATATTTTTAATGTATTGCTGAATTTTGTTTGCTAATATTGGGTTGTCGGAAAAGTCATGATGTATTTTTTCTATGTTTTTCTTTTTCTTTTTCTTTTTTCTTTAAAGACTTTTATTGGGGAATTGGGGGATGGGAACAGCGCTGGGAAATTGGGGGAAGGGGAACAGACAAGTTGCTGTCATTTTGTTCTTCAGTCTAGCTGTGGAGGACGTTGCTTCACTGGCCCAAGTTGGCACCATCATTGCGCTCTTCCTGGGTGAGGCAGATCAGTCACCNTTCACTGGCCCAAGTTGGCACCATCATTGCGCTCTTCCTGGGTGAGGCAGATCAGTCACCGGCTTCTGGACGGCCGCTCATGCTGGCTGCTGGCCGCTCACTCTGGCTGCTGGCCGCTCACGCTGGCTGCTGGCTACAAACGGTAGCCCATGACAACCCGCTGCAGCAGGGGCTGCAGCCTATGCCATCGCTGGCGACTCATGGCAGCCCAGCTCCAGGTTGAGCTTATTGTTCAGCATCTTAGCTGTAGAGGGCAGTGTCACTGGCCCTCATATGTGGGATCCGAACCGGGGCCCTCTGGCGTCCCAAGCCTGCTCTTAACCAATGCACCACTCGGCCGGCCCTTTTCTATGTTTTTCGTTGCAAAAATGCGTCATGACTTTTCCGACAACCCAATATTTTGTTGAGGATTTTTGCATCTATATTCATCAGGGATATCAGCTTGTAATTTTCTATTTTTTGTAATATCTTTCTCTCCTCTGGAACTTTTATGGAATAGTTTGAGGATAGGTGTTAATTCTTCTTTGAATGTTTGGTAAAATTCACCTGTGAAGCCATCCAGTCTAGGACTTCTGCTTGTTGGGAGCTTTTTGATTACTGATTCGATTTTGTTAGTAGTAATCAGTCAGTTCAGATTTTCTATTTCTTCTTTATTCAGCCTTGGAAGATTGTATGTTTCTAGGAATATATCCATTTCTTCCAGATTGTC